AATAAGAGAGGGCACAAACAGATGGAAAAACATTCCCTGTCCATGGTTAGGAAGAATCAGTATCATGAAAATGGCCATACTGCCCAAAGTAGTTTACAGATTCAATGCTATCCCCAGCAAGCTACCATTGACTTTCTTTACAAAATAGAAAAAAAAAAATACCAAAAAAAAAACAAAAAAAACCTTAAACTTCATATGGAACCAAAAGAGAGCCCACATCACTAAGATATTCCCAAGCAAAATAAATAACTACATAAATAAATAAAATAAAATGAAAACCAAAGCTAGAGGCATCACATAACCGGATGTCAATCTATACTACAAGCCTACAGTAATCAAAACAGCATGGTACTGGTACCAAAACAGACATAGACCAATGGAACAGAACAGAGGCCTCAAAAGTAACGCCACACATCTACAACTTTCCGATCTTTGACAAACCTGACAAAAACAAGCAATGGGGAAAGGATTCCCTGTTTAATAAATGGTGTTGGGAAAACTGGCTAGCCATATGCAGAAAGCTGAAGCTGGATCCCTTCCTTACACCTGATACAAAAATTAACTCCAGATGGGTTAATGATTTAAACATAACACCTAAAACCATAAAAACCTTAGAAGAAAACCTAGGCAAAACCAGTCAGGACATAGGCCTAGGCAAGGACTTCATGACTAAAACACCAAAAACAATAGGCAACAAAAGCCAAAACAGACAAATGGGATCTAATTAAACTTAAGAGCTTCTGCACAGCAAAAGAAACTCATTAGAGTGAACTGACAACCAACAGAATGGGGAAAAATTTTTGTAATCTACTCATCTGACAAAGAGCTAACATCCAGAATCTACAAATAAACAAATTTACAGGAAAAAAACCAAACAATCCTATCAAAAAATAGGCAAAGGATATGAACAGACACTTTTCAAAAGAAGGTATTAGTGAGGCCAACAAATATATGAAAAAAGCTGATCAGCACTAGTCATTAGAGAAATGCAAATCAAAACCACATTGAGATACCATCTCATGCCAGTTAGAATGGTGATCATTAAAAGATCAGAAAACAACAGATCCTAGAGAGAACGTGGAGAAATAGGAATGCTTTAACAGTGTTGGTGGGAGTGTAAATTAGTTCAACCATTGTGGAAGGTAGTGTGACCATTCCTTAGGGATCTAGAAAAGGACATGCCATTTGACCCAGTATACCCAAAGGATTATAAAGCATTCAGTTATAAAGACGCATGAACACATATGTTTATTGCAGCACTGTTTACAATAGCAAAGACTTGAAACCAACCCCAATGCTAATCAATGATAGAGTGGATGAAGAAAATGTGGCACGTATACACCATGGAATACTATGCAGCCATTAAAAAAAGATGAGTTCATGTCCTTTGCAGGGAAATAGATGAATCTGGAAACCATCATTCTCGGCAAACTGACACAAGAACAGAAAACCAAACACCACATATTCTCACTCATAAGTGGGTATTTAACAATGAGATCACATGGACACAGTGAGGGTTACATCACACACTGGGGCCTGTCAAGGGTTTGGGGGGCTAGGGAAGGAATAGCAGGGGGTTGGGGTATTGAGGAGGGATAACGGTGGGAGAAATATCTAATGTAGATGACTGGGGGATGGATGCAGCAAACCACCATGACACATTATACTTATGTGACAAATCTGCAGGACATGAACCTGTACCCCAGAACTTAAAGTATAATTTAAAAAATAGAACAGTTTGGAGCTGCTGACACCAGCAACTTCAGCACCAATAAAATGATTTCACCCTCATTGGCCTCAAATTTACTTTGCATGGGGCAATTGCAGTTCCAAAGTGAGAACAGGTGAATTCAATGTGCATGCACTTCCCAAGTGTCCACTTGTATTCTGTATTCTTCTGTTTGCAGAAAGTAGACACATACTCAACCTTAATACCAATGTAGGGTGTGCTTTCCATGAGAGGGATACCAGTAAAAAAGGGCAAACGTGGGATCCATTAATGTAACAATCAACCACTGTATATGTGCATATGTGTGTGTGTGTATGTGTGTGTGCGTGTGTGTGTGTGTGTGTCTGTGTGTGTGTGTTTTGAATAGTAGAATTGGAGTGGGACTCTAGCCAACTACACCTGCACCTGAAGGTACTTTCATGTGCAATAATCGGCTGCAGGACCCTAAAGGAAATAAGAGTCTCCCACAAACCCCCAAAGAGTTTTTGGATTCACCACGTGTCCAATGATTCAGTGCCTCGTCAGCTCCAGTAAAGGACTCCCTGGTGATGCATGAGAGCTTTTCTTGGGGTGTCCTTGCAGAGTTCACCTGGTTTCCTAAGGACAATGCACTATTTCAAAAGATGGTGTAAGAAGCATATGGAGTCACTAAAGGAGAATTGCAAGCCAGGGCACAGCCACTTTATACGGGGCTAGAGACACTGGTAGGATTACGCTCTGTCAACTCTGACAGAATCCTCCCTACAGGGTGGGGCTGGGCTGCAGGGGGCACTCAGGATACACCCAGCACAAGCTCCCACTCCAGAGCAGGTGCGGAGGAGGCTGGGGAGGAGTTCCTCTCATGGCCTAGGACTTCCTTTAAAAATATCTAAAATAAGCATTTAACAAGGACTACTGGTGTTTGTAGAAATATCCTATTCAATTGTGAGCATTTATGAAATTCGATGTTGTAATGAGAACCACTTACAATGGGGAGTTCAAGTTCTGCCAGACATCTTAATAATAAGCAGCTGGAGGACAGGAAGAGTCTTTCTTATAAATAAGTGCAATTTTTGGAGAAACACTCATTTCCAAGAAAACGCATTCACGCATTCACGCATAATGGTTCTCCCACCGCTCCTCCAGGCCTCTGTGGGGGTTTTACTGCTCTTGGTTCTCCAACTGCTTCTTCAGGCCTGCGTGGGGGTCTCCTCGCTCTTGCAATTTTGTGATCGAGCTGGTTGTCCTGTGTCAGACCCTGTTTCCCCTGTAGCTGTGAGCCCAGTGCTTTTCTTGTTGACAGTTATAAGTTTATGTTTAACCTCTATTCTTGCTAAGGTTTATGGTTTCTATGCTGATGCACAGAAAGTAACTTTACATCGATCTGCTTTTACAATACCATATTGTGATTTTTGGTCAACAGTTTTAACTTATGTTCTTTTTGTATAATTATCTTGGAAACTTTGTGTAACCTCACTCCCCCTCCCCTAATGAAAGAACATAATAAAAACTGAGGTTTTCAGGGGAATGTTAGACATCCATGGAGCAGCAGTATGTAGTGTCTCCCCTGGGCCCAGCTTTGAAAAAAACTGTTTCTTGTATTTTTTGTCTTTTTTCCTTTTCACCGACCACTTGATCACCTTGAGAGATCTTGAATCTATGTTGATATATTAGGAGTTGGTCTTCTAATAATGGGTGTATGTATGAGGTGAAATTTGCAAGGTCACAAGAGAAATGTTTAAGGTGACCCTGGGGAATGTATAAGGTGACCTTGTGGATGTGTGAGGTCACCTAGGGCATATGTGTAGTCACCTGGGGGAAATGTGAGGTGCCCTTGGGAAGATACTCTTCAGTTTTCTGACTGAGCCTCCTTCCTAGGTCCAGGTGGTGAGCCAGGTTCTGGGGAGTGGTCTTCAAAGTGTTCCTGCCCTTACCACTTCCCCTGGGAGCAGAGTGTCTTTTTCTAGCCACAATACTTTCTCACCAGTGTCCTCAGCTTCTTACATACTGTCCCTACCCTACAAATTAAAAATTTTATTCCACAGAAAAGATTGGAGGTGGTTCCAGAGGGAGGGTTCATGGTGTCCAGTGTCTTCATCTATTTCTGTTGACTCCACCACTACCAGGAGGAAACAGATTTGGTGGATTTTCCACTGCAGATAGTGGCGGAGGATTCAGGAAGTGAACACTGGCTGATGTTCTTCTCCCCCAGTCAACACAGTCAACACCATGGGACAGCAGATGAAGAAACTTTTTGGATATTTCCCAACTTTTTAAGGAAAGTCTGCAACAATATATGGCACTAGAAGTTTCACACTCCAACATCATTACTGCACACATTTTCAAGGAACTCTAAATATTTCCAGGTTAACTACAATGCTATGTAGTGACACCTGCCCCAGGTACACTCATAAATGCATCCTGGTTATCCCTGCCAACCCCTATCTCCTCAAGTTTTAAGTTTATGTTTGCTCAACTCTGATATGTCAAAAAAATTTTTTATTTGTAGTCATTCAGGTTTGTCATTAATGAGGTAAGAATAAGATCACAGTTTTATTATTTTGTATTTTCTCATGCTGACTAGTTGTTTTTTATATAAAAGTCAGAGACTGAGAGAACAATTTAAATAGTCATAATATGTGAGGAGATGGGCAATGTTACATATGTCAATGTACTGAAATACAACTCATTGCAGTCAAGGCATACCTGATTCACAAGAAAGCATGGCTACATTTTCAAATGTGAGTGCTGAGTGAAAGAAGCTAAATAACTATGAGAACATATCATTTGGACCTGTGCTTCCAGCCAGTGGAGGAGACTGGCCCCCAGGAATACTCTCGGACTGTGTGGTTAGAAGCACAGGTCCAGATAATAGGGCTAAATTAGTCCAGATGTGTGATCTTGAACACATGGCTGAACTGCTCTGTTCTGTATATAGTTTATATTGCGTAAAAGATAACATTGGTACCGGCATTGACTATATTGTACAAATATATAAAAATAAAATAATGAGAGTTAAATGATTATCAAGAGACAATCACATAACATAAAATTGTATTTTCCTGGATAAAAGAATTACTACCAGTTTCTTCCAGGACACTTTCATTTACTCTGGGCAGCACCCTCTCCTCAGGTGTCCCACTTCAGCCCGTGCTGTATAATAGGAGACATGCAAATAGGGCCTTCCCTTTTCTGATGAAAACCAGCCCTGACCCTGCAGCTCTGGGAGAGAAGCCTCAGCCCTGGGATTTTCAGGTGTTTCCGTTTGGTGATCAGCAATGAACAAATCGCCATGGAGTTTATGCTGAGCTGGGTTTTTCTTGCTGCTCTTTTAAAAGGTGATTCATGGAGGACTAAGGATACTGAGTGTGTGTGGACATGAGTGAGAGAAACAGTGGATGTGTGTGGCAGTTTCTAACCTTGTTGTCTCTGTGTTTGCAGGTGTCCAGTGTGAGGTGCAGCTGGTGGAGTCTGGAGGAGGCTTGGTTCAGCCTGGGGGTCCCTGAGACTCTCCTGTGCAGCCTCTGGATTCACCTTCAGTAACAGTGACATGAACAGGGTCCGCCAGGCTCCAAGGAAGGGGCTGGAGTGGGTCTCGGGTATTAGCTGGAATGGCAGTAGGACACACTAGGTAGACTCCATGAAGGGCCGATTCATCGTCTCCAGAGATAACACCAGGAATTTCCTTTACCTGCAAATGAGCAGCCTGAGACCTGACGACGCGGCCGTGTATCATTGTGTGACAAACACTGTGAGGAGACCTAAGTATGAGCCCAGACACAAACATTCTGCAGGAACGCTGGGGGAAGTCAGCTGTTGGGGGGCGCTCAGGATCCCTTCATCACCCCCTCATCAGAGTCTCTTCCCTCTTCAAGTTGTCCTTCCTTTCTGAACTAAATCAATATACATCTTACATACATTAATTGATGTCTCATGTCTCCTTAAATTGTATAAAACCAAGCTGTGCCCCATCAGCTTTGCACATACCATCAAGACTCCCTGAAGTGGTGTCACATGTTTGTATTCTATCTCATAACTTTAATTATCTGAAATATTAAAGAAAATTTGCCAAACAGCACATTCTCTTGTTTAATGTTATTGTTTTTGTAAAAAGAAATATATTTATCTAATTAATGCATAATTTACATTACTGAGCTGAGTAGCAAACTTATCAATAGGACTCAAAGTAATAAAAAATTCAAGTATCAATTATCAACTTAATAGAAAAATCAGATGATGCTACATTTGTTTGCTGAAATGCTGAACATTATGTATAAGAAATGAACACAACTACAAAAAGGTTTAGTTCTCACAATTTCTATTAAAAAATAAGCCAAATAGATAATCATATATATTATATTAATTTATTCTTATAAATTCTAGAAAATAAAGCCTAGGCTAAGGCAATATCAGAACATCAGTAGTTTTATAAGGAAACGGTAGAAAAAGGGAAGAAGAAAAATATAAATAAGAGCAAGAGGATTGCTGAGGGGAGTTGAATTTTTACCTTCTTGAAAGTAGAAATTTTTGAATGCTGGGAAGATGGTCGCCTAAGAACAGCGCAGGACTTCAGCTCCCAGTGAAAGTGCAGAGGGTGAGTGGACGCCGCATTTCCAGATGAACTCTTATTGCCCACAGACCACGAGATACCCAGGCAGAGGGGTTGCCAGCATCGCAGTCCCAGCCGGTGCGGCTGTTTTGGCCCCCGCGGGGCTGATTCCGGCCGCGTGGCTGCTGTGACCACTCCCTGTTGCTGTGGTTCTCCGTACAAAAGCCTCTGGTCTGGGAGCCCTCTTAGCTGGCGAGAAGAGCCCTGAGACTTCAGAGTTCCCCACTCATCTGAAATAGCGAGTCAGACCAGGAGATTCCTAGGCAAAAAGTCCGCCAGGAGCCGGCGCTGCAGTTCCAGCAGACTCCGTGAGTCACAGCTCGGGAGATCCCAGCGCCTTTTCAACAAGCGACTGGAACACAGGGTCGTTCAACTTAAAAGAAAAGACTCTGAGTCAGGGAGCCAGGTGATCAGGCTCAGTTGGTCCCACCCCTCCACCCCCAACAACAACGAAAACAAAAACAGTAATTGGAAACCCTCTGGGTTGAGCCCTTCAAACCAAGCACAGCTGAACCCGGACTGTCCGGCTCCGTGGGGGAGGGGCTTCTGCCATTACTGAGACTCTCCACCGCTATGGAGGCAGGCTGCTGTTGCCGAGGCAACCCGCCGTTACCGAGGCAACCTGCCACAACAGTGAGAGTCCGCCATAACAGAGGCGGGGCCACCATTGCCCAGACAGTTCTAACTACATCCATATAAAAAGGACTACAGGGAAGAGCTCAGGGCAGTTGGGCAGAGCCCACAGCAGCTCAGCAAAGCCCCTGCGGGCAGGCAGTGGCTAGGCCTGCTGCTAGCTGGGCGGGGCAGACCTGAAAGAAAAATCAAAAAAGGCAGTAGTGCAATGGAAACTCATAAAGCTCCAACTCCCTGGGACAGAGACAGACAACAGGTGGATAAACCCACAAAAATGGGAAGAAAACAGCACAAAAAGGATGAAAACTCCCGAAACCAGAACACCTCTCCTCCTAAAAGGGATCACAACTCCTCACCAGCAAGGGAACCAGACCGGATGGAGAAGGAGGGTGATGAAAAGACAGAATCAGACTTCAGAAGGTGGGTAGTAAGAAACTACAGTGAGCTAAAAGAACATGTTCTAACCGAACACAAAGAAAAGAGGAACCTTGAAAAAAGATTGGATGAACTGCTGAAGAGAATGGGCAGCACAGAGAGGAGTATAAGTGAATTGATGGAGCTGAAAAATGAAACACGAGAACTTCGCGAAGCATGCACAAGCTTCAACAGCCGAATTGACCAAGCAGAAGAAAGGATATCAGAGGTCGAAGATCAACTCAATGACATAAAAAGAGAAGGCAAGAACAGAGATAAAAGCACAAAAAGGAATGAACAAAATCTTCAAGAAATGTGGGACTATGTGAAAAGACCTAATCTACGTCTGATAGGTGTACCTGAATGTGATGAAGAGAATGAATCCAAGCTGGAAAATACTGTTCAGGATATTATCCAGGAAAACTTCCCCAAACTAGCAAGGCAGACCAATATTCAAATCCAGGAAATACAGAGAACACCACAAAGATATTCCTCAAGAAGAGCAACCCCAAGGCACATAATCTTCAGATTTACCAGGGTTGAAATGAAAGAGAAAATGCTAAGGGCAGCCAGAGAGAAAGGTCGGGTTACCCACAAAGGGAAGCCCATTAGGCTTACAGCAGATCTCAGAAGAAACCCTACAAGCCAGAAGAGATTGGGGGCCAATATTCAACATCCTTAAAGAAAAGAACTTTCAACCCAGAATCTCCTATCCAGCCAAACTAAGCTTCATAAGTGAAGGAAAAATAAAATCCTTTGTGAACAAGCAAGCACTCAGAGATTTCATCACCACCAAACCTGCTCTACAAGAACTCCTCAAAGAGGCTCTACACATATAAAGGAACAACCAGTACCAGCCACTCCAAAAACACACCAAATGGTAAAAGAGCATCAACACAATCAAGAATCTGCATCAACTAACCAACAAAACAGCCAGGTAGCATCAAAATGACAGCATCAAATTCACACATAACAATACTATCCCTAAATGTCAATGGACTAAATGCCCCAATCAAAAGACGCAGACTGGCAAATTGGATAAAAAGCCAAAACCCATCAGTGTGCTGTATCCAGGAAACCCATCTTACATGCAAGGATACACAAAGGCTCAAAATAAAGGGATGGAGGAAGATCTACCAAGCAAATGGAGGGCAAAAAAAGGCAGGAGTTGCAATTCCCATCTCTGAGAAAATAGACTTTAAAGCAACAAAGATCAAAAGAGACAAAGAAGGACATTACATAATGGTAAAAGGATCGCTGCAACAAGAAGAGCTAACGATCCTAAATATATACGCACCCAATACAGGAGCACCCAGATACATAAGGCAAGTTCTTAATGACTTACAAAGAGACTTAGACTCCCACACAATAATAGTGGGAGACTTTAACACCCCATTGTCAATATTAGACAGATCATCCAGACAGAAAATCAACAAGGATATCCAGGACCCGAATACAGACCTGGAACAAGCAAACCTAATAGACATTTACAGAACTCTCAACCTCAAATCCACAGAATATATATTCTTCTCAGCACCACATCACACCTACTCTAAAATTGACCACATAATTGGCAATAAATCACTCCTCAGCAAATGCAAAAGAACAGAAATCATAACAAACAGTCTCTCAGACCACAGGGCAATCGAGTTAGAACTCAGAATGCAGAAACTAACTCAGAACCGCATAGCTTCATGGAAACTGAATAACTTGCTCTTGAATGTTGACTGGATAAACAATTAAATGAAGGCAGAAATAAAGATGTTCTTCAAAACCAATGAGAACGAAGACACAACATACCAGAATCTCTGGGACACATTTAAAGCAGTCTCTAGAGGAAAATATATAGCAATGAGTGCCCACATGAGAAGAAAGGAGAGATCTAAAATTGACACCCGATCCTCAAAATTGAAAGAGCTAGAGGAGCAAGATCAAAAAAACTCAAAACCTAGCAGAAGACAGGAAATAACTAAGATCAGAGCAGAACTGAAGGAAATAGAGACACAAAAAACTCTTCAAAAATCAATAAATCCAGGAGCTGGTTTTTTGAAAAGATCAACAAAATAGACAGACCACTAGCCAGATTAATAAAAAAGAAAAGAGAGAATAACCAAATTGATGCAATAAAAAACGATAAAGGGGATATCACCACAGATTCCACAGAAATCCAAACAATCATCAGAGATTATTACAAACAACTCTATGCACATAAACTAGTAAACCTGGTAGAAATGGATAAATTCCTGGACACCTGCATCCTCCCAAGCCTAAACCTGGAAGAAGCCGAAGCCCTGAATAGACCAATAACATGGTCTGAAGTCGAGGCAGCAACAAAGAGCCTACCACCCAAAAAAAGCCCAGGTCCAGATGGGTTCACAGCTGAATTCTACCAGACATACAAAGGGAGCTGATACCATTCCTTCTGAAACTATTCCAGACAATCCAAAAAGAGGGAATTCCTTCCCAAATCATTTTACGAGACAAACATCATCCTGATACCAAAACCCGGCAGAGACTCAACAAGAAAAGAAAATTTCAGGCCAATATCCATGATGAACATAGATGAAAAAATCTTCAAAAAAATACGGCAAACCGATTGCAACAGCATATCAAAAAGCTCATCCACCATGATCAAGTAGGATTCATCCCGGGGATGCAAGGCTGGTTCAACATACGCAAGTCCATAAACGTAATTCACCACATAAACAGAACCAAAGACAAAAACCACATGATTATCTCGATTGATGCAGAGAAGGCTTTTGACAAAATTCAACAACCCTTTATGCTAAAAACCCTCAATAAACTAGGTATTGACGGAACGTATCTCAAAACAATAAAAGCTATTTACGACAAACCAACAGCCAATATCATACTGAATGGGCAAAAACTGGAAGCATTCCCTTTGAAATCTGGCACTAGACAAGGATGCCCTGTCTCACCACTCCTATTCAATAGAGTACTGGAAGTTCTAGCCAGTGCAATCAGGCAAGAAAAAGAAATAAAGGGTATCCAAATTGGAAAGGAGGAAATCAAATTGTCTCTATTTGCAGATGACATGATTGTATGTCTGGAAGACCCCATCATCTCAGCCCAAAATCTCCTGAAACTGATAAACAACTTCAGCAAAGTCGTCAGGATACAAAATCAACGTGCAAAAATCACAAGCATTCCTATACACCAGTAATAGACTTCAAGAGAGCCAAATCAAGAACGAACTGCCATTCACAATTGCTACAAAGAGAATAAAGTACCTAGGAATACAACTAACAAGGAAACGTAAAGGACCTCTTCAAGGAGAACTACAAGCCATTGCTCAACGAAATAAGAGAGGATACAAACAGATGGAGAAACATTCCATGTTCATGGTTAGGAAGAATCAACATCGTGAAAATGGCCATACTGCCCAAAGTAATTTACAGATTCAACGCTATTCCCATCAAGCTACCAATGATCTTCTTCACAGAACTGGAAAAAAACACCTTAAACTTCATATGGAACCAAAAGAGAGCCCGCATAGCCAAGTCAATTCTAAGCAAAAAGAACAAAGCAGGAGGCATCACACTACCGGACTTCAAACTATACTACAAGGCTACAGTAATCAAAAAAGCATGGTACTGGTACCAAAACAGAGATATAGACCAAATGGAACAGAACAGAGGCCTCAGAGGAAATACAACATACCTACAACCATCTGATCTTTGGCAAACCTGACAAAAACAAGCAATGGGGAAAGGACTCCCTGTTTAATACAAGGTGTTGGGAAAACTGACTAGCCATGTGCAGAAAGCAGAAACAGGACCCCTTCCTGACACCTTACACCAAAATTAACTCCAGATGGATTAAAGACTTAAACATCAGACCTAATACCATAAAAACCTTACGAAGAAAATCTAGGCAAAACCATTCAGGACATAGGTGTAGGCAAGGACTTCATGACCAAAACGCCAAAGGCAATGGCAACAAAAGCCAAAATAGACAAATGGGACCTAATCAAACTCCACAGCTTCTGCACGACAAAAGAAACAGTCCGTAGAGTGAATCGGCAACCAAAAGAATGGGAAAAAATTTTTGCAGCCTACCCATC